ACACACACACACACACACACACACACACACACACACACACACACACACACGCTTCATAATCATGACAAGCTCTGGTCCACCATTATCCATTTAGCAGTTTTTTTGTCTTGTCTTGCAATAATCTGCTCAAACCCCCAGTGAGCTTATTATGGTCAAGGAAAAGTGCTTGTAGCTGCTGGAGGTTGGATCTTAGAAAGATGCAAATCCATTTTGCACAAGGAATTAATAGTGAAAAAAAAAATTCCCATGTGCACTTTAATCAATTTGAGTCTTTGTCATGAGACTGATGCTATACGTGGCCCTTTTCAGTGACACCATCGGATTCTGTTATGTTTGGATTTTGAAAGCGTTAGGTGAAGGAGCAGCTGTGGCGCTAATATGACTGTAACTCTGCCCTACATAATTCATTGACTCCTGGGGAATGAGTCTCTCAGGGGGAGAAGCTCTTTTTTTAATGCCTTTACCTGATTCCCTCAACATCACAGTCTCCAGAGATGATTCAGAGGAGAATAAAAAGAGGAGGAGGGAGGGATATTTCGTCATGTGCCTCATTTTGAAGTCCTCTTTTAAGTAAAAATGAGCCGTAACTGAAGAATTCAACTTGTAATATTAATTACTCTAACCTCAATATGTCTGTAACGTAAAACTACTTGATTTGTATTCAGGTTCAAGATCTTGTGACAATTTAAAAGTCTCAGGTTGACATTTGGGCCTTGGTGGACGTGTGCTCTCCTGAGTGACCTTCTAATTTTGATCATCATTACTTCCCCACATTCCCCACAGAAATTGTTGACTTATCTGACCTCATTTCTGCTTCCTCCTGTAGATGTGAAGAACCTGGAGAACTTCCACCTTGTAGAAAGCGTCCAGGAGCAGGTCAACGCAGCGCTGCTGGACTACGTCATGTGCAACTACCCGCAGCAGACGGACAAGTTCGGCCAGCTGCTCCTCCGGCTGCCTGAGATCCGAGCCATCAGCCTGCAGGCTGAAGAATACCTTTACTACAAACACCTGAACGGCGACGTGCCCTGCAACAACCTGCTCATTGAGATGCTGCACGCCAAGAGAGCTTAGGAGGGGACTCTGCTACCCATAATGCAGCTTGTGAGGTCGTCCTGAGAGTTTTGCTGTGGCACAAAAACTCTAAATAAAGAACCTACCAGCTCAGACTTTGACTGGGCGCTGACCTGAAGGACAAAGAGCGAGTGGGTTAGAAACTATTGTTTATATTGAACTATTCAAGTTACAACTTGAAGAACAGATCTGGACGAACACGTGCACAGAGTATGATAATGTGCAGAAAAACAGCATGTGGATCCCCTTTACTCTAAAAAACAGAAAAATTAAAAAAATCTAAAAGTAGAGCCGCTTCTCAACCCCACAGAAAAAGACAATATAAAAAAAGGAAAAAAAGAACTCTTGAAATAAACACTGCAATTGCATTTACACCACGAGATGGCATCTAATCGTCTGCACGAGCCCGGACTATCAAGACTGGCAGGCAGCAGCGAAGATAAATAACAACCCTCGTGTGTTTGAGCACTGGTGACACAGCAAGAGGCTTTTTTCTGTGGTGAGAAAGGATGACGCTGCTCATCTTTCACGCAGCTTTGTGACCAGAGCGGTGGCTGAGTTCTGGTCACTAATCCTCGGCTTTGAGCTGTCGCTGGTACTGTAAAGACAAACTGGGCCACAGACTCTTTCCTACCGTCGTCCTCGTTTTTTTGCCACGGCAGCTTGACCTGACTGAAAAAGGGAGAACTGATGGTAAAAAAGAAAAGGTCTAAAAACTGAATATTTAATGAACAAAATGATAAATAGGCCAATAAAAAAAAGTACAATGTTCTTTTTCCTCTTGTAATGAAGTCATTTGCTAGTCATGGTCACCTTGTGGTTCCCCCTTTCTTACTCCAGCTGCCCCGAAATCATCTTACACCATGTACCTCAGAACGACCAGTGTTAAATAAATTCAGTTCATAACGTCAGCTGAAACAATTGTATTTATAACCCATTTCTCCTGCAAAAAAAAAAAAAAAAAAAATTCCCACACCCTCCCCTTTTCATTATTTCATTAAAACTGGAACAAAACAAAAGTGAGATTCTGGAGACAGAGAAGGATCGACCCTGCCTTTGTCCAGAAAGACCAAAGCCTGCTGCAGAACAGAAGAAGGAAATGACAAATACCTTAATAATCAGTATTATAAAAGAAGAAGAAAAAAAAAGATTTGTGATGTCACACTTGCGTGAGTCTTGCCTTATTTCATTACCATGCTAGCTAACCGTGCAGATGTGAATGAAAATAT